CACACACACACACACACACACACACACACACACACACACACACACACACACGTGGGCGTGCACGTGCGCGTGCGCGCATGATGACACTTTTTTTCTCTAAACACATTGACTATCGGCATCGCTGAGGCCGTGAGGTTTACAGAGAGAAGAGCATTGTCAGGTGAACGGCGTACTTTCCTGTTGTTTTTTTTTGGGGGGGGGGTTTCCCTGTCGCAATGTTGCGAGTGGAGAATATGGATCTAGACCGTGGCCTTGAGGGCATGATGAATACGTCACAAAAATGGAGGAAACGGGAAACAATGTTATTAAAAACCTTTGCAACCATGTCAATATCTATGAATGAGGGCATATTTGTTTTACAACGGTGTGCGTGAGGAATAGCTCTTCACTTACTTTCTGCACTCTCATTCTTAACAAAATATTGCCAACCCGGGTAACCGGTGCCTGTGGTGTAGCGGATAGTGTTAGGCGCTTCTCCCATGTTGTGATAATTTTTATGTAGAATCTTGGTATTTCTGATGGGATATTGTATTCCCTTCAGCCCGGGTTGGCCCTTACAATCAGGGTCAAAACCTCCTCGTAAAAATTATAAACTCGATGGGGATGTTAAATATGTACACACCTACATTTTAGAAAATAAAGTTCAGGTGTATTGTTGTCATTCATTAAAATCGTTTCCTGTCGTTTCTTGTGTGAATGCTGCATGTGGGGAGTATGGATCTAGGTAGAAAAGTGCCTGTCAGTCTGAGCAATATCGCCTATTGGGCGAATTTGTAATGTTGGTGGGCAAAAGTGAGCGCTGGCTTTCAAATCGTCGGCAAGCACTGATCTTGACAGTGAAGAAACAGGATGTCTTGTATCCTTCTTTACAACAGTGTAAACATATCTTAAGTTGAGGACATGTTTGTTTTACGACGGCATTGATGAGGAATAATTCTTCATTTATAACGCACTGCACTCTCGAAAGTGAAATTGTATTTGCTGAGCTTCCTTTTGCAACACTGTAAAGTTATTAATTTAAAAGACAAAACCTCCGAATTTGATATCCATCTTCAATAGAACGGCGCCAAATGGGAGAGTTCTGGTAAAGTGCCTTCCCAAAGGCTCGACGTTACATCGATCTGAGCCTCGAATCCACTAACCTATAGATCTAGAGCTAATCTCAGGATGACGAGCCCGGTAGCCAATAGCTTGTTCACTTTCGTCTGACCGCGGTTAAAACAAGATAAAATGAAATCTCTCTCTCTCAATCTTCTCAGATCTTTGCACGGGGGCTCTCGTGGCCTAGAGGTTGAGGTGTTGGCCTCTCATTCCCGGGTTCGATTCCGGGTAGCGACCAAAAAATGTCTTCTCTAAAATTGTCTCCTTTCACATCCTTTCCTGATCTCTAACAATGTTCTGTTGTCTGCTTTCATTTCTTTCCACTTTCTGCCCCTACCCCCTCACCTCCTTTGCCCCCTCCTCTGGGCTCCTGACTCTTTCTGCAGCCTTTCTACTGCTACTCCTTGGCTCCTCCTAACTGCTGTCTTTCTGCCACACCCCTGATCTTTGGTAGGAAAGATCTACACCTAGCTTTCTCGGAAAAGGGCGAAAAATCTCGGAGGGCCCGTGTGCAAGTTGCGCACGTTAAAGATCCCTTGGTGGTCTAAAATCGATAAGAGTAGGCTTCGGCCGCCACCCGGGCAAAATTCAAAATTTCCTACCAACGAAAAAGTATTAGGTGTGTCCCGCGTGCTCATATGACCTTATGCAGAGTTGCGAGCGCCGTAAAACCCTATACTAAACAAACAAACAGATCTTTGCATACAGGTAAAAATATTGGATGACCTACAGAATCTAAAAGCCCATTCATAAAGGTCACTGCAAACTGAAGTTCCGACACGTTTTCTTTGATGTAGATGTAAGCCGAAAGCGTGTAAAAAATTTAATAGGGGATTTATAGCATTCACCTAAAACATTTAAAAGTTGACATTTTCCTGAACATCATACTCTATTGTTCGCCAAAACACGATTCAAGAGACGATGTGAGTAATTTTCGAGACTCACACGGTGCTCGTGGAGACGTCTGGACAGCGGGGGAATGAAATTGACAAGTTTACACCCTGAAATATGTGGGCATGGTGGTGTTGATGTCTCAAAATGAGGCAAGGTTTCTGTAAATAATTTATTTTCGTGATCCTGTGTATGTTTCCAAAGAATATAGCGCCCAAAGAGAAAAAACGTGTATTACTGGATCAAGATTTTTGGAGAAAAAAAATGTGTCTGGTCGCTGGCCTGCAAAAGCGCCATGCAAAGTTTCGTTGGCATAGGAAAAAATAATAATGAGCTAGATCTAGAATTTTCGACGCGGTCAGACGAAGGTGAAG